GGGTAAGGACTAATTACCGACAAAGACGGTTCTGTTCCCGAATTTTGTCATCCCTCGTAGGGGTCTCTCTCTACCACACACGCACGAACGCACACACGCACGCACCCCACACACATATCATTCACATTCCAGTCATATATATATATATATATATATATATATATATATATATTGTGGGTAACGCACTAACATACAGTATAGCCTTATATACCATAAAAAGAAAGTTTGCACGATTTCGATTTTTTCTGAACTCAATTACGTAATACTTATTTTTCTGTCTTGGCTGTCGTAAAACGGCAACAATCAATTCTAATTCTGTGCGTGGAAATCTGTAATAAATTCACGTAGGCATACGCGTGCTGTATGGGTGTGTGCGGCGCATGTGTGTGGGTGACCGTATGCATATCCGCACGCGTGCGTTCATGCGCTCAATTTGAGTACGGCGCGTTGTGTGTGTACATGCATGTGTGTGTGTGTGCGTGTGTGTGTGCGTGTGCGTGTGCGTGTGTGTGTGCGTGTGCGTGTGCGTGTGGCGCGTGCGCGTGGCGTGTGTGTGTGTGTCCACGCGCGCTTGCTGTACGTACAAACGCGCGCACGTTGCATGCCCTGTTGTGTTAACGCCTCGCTAACGCATTGCGTACAATTTCGCACTGGAACCTGTTTTGATTTCGGAGAGATGTGCGGTCGTGTGGCTGCTGTGTGAGTTCGCGAGTTCCATAGGCAGCAAATCAGGAAGTCCGCGCGTGGTAGAGGCTACAGTAGCGAAGCTATACGGAGCCTGAATGCGACAGTGCAACACTGCATGGCAAGTACGGTGTAGCGTTTGTTTTGGCTTTTACAGTTTTACTAGCTCATTAGCTCTCTCTTTTTTCTCCCATCTCTCTCTTCTCCCCCCCCTCTCTCCCTCTCCCTCTCCCCCTCTCTTTTTTCCTCAACCTCTCTCTCTCTTTTCTCTCTTCTCTTCGCGGCTGCTCTCTCTCTCTCTCTCTCTTCGCTCTATTATCTCTCAACGCGAGCCCCCCCACACCACACCACACACTTGATGTCCCCCACATGTAACCTATGTGTTTGTACGCTTCACAATGTCAGCTTCAGCTTCGTTGTACTTTTACCCTCTCTGAGTACATACCGACATCGACACCCGCATATACGTGTTCTAAATAAAATCCCAGTTGGGTGTTTCGCTTGTGCAAAGCTGCCTTATTTTCAAACAGCTGAGCACACTTACGTAGCAGGGGCCACTTGGCTCCAAGCATTAATTTCCCTTCCCCAAGGTTAGAACAGCAACGTGAGAACGCACGGACGTAGTTCGAGGCAAAACCTGGGAGGCCGGGGAAGAGCAAGTGAGTACGTGCTATATAGCCAGGGAGAAACGCTTCTTTGCCGGCAACACAGATCATTGAATGCCGGGTAAAATTAGAGACAACTGCTATTTTTAGTTTCAGCAGTGCCCGCGCGATGAGATGATATATACAACGAACGTGTGGAAGCATGCATGGGGCTCCTATCGTGTATGGGGAGTTCAACGACAATTTCATATCCAATGCTGTAATGGTGTGTGTGTGTGTGTGTGTGTGTTGTGTGTGCTGTGTGGTGTGCGTGCGTGGCGTGCGTGCGTGCGTGGTGCGTGCGTGCGTGCGTGGTGGCGTCGGGCGTGCGTGGCGTGCGTGCGTTGCGTGCCGTGGGCGTGCGTGGTGCGTGCGCTGCGTGCGTGCGTGCGTGCGGTTGCGTGGCGTGCGTGCGTGCGTGCGTGCGTGCGTGCGTGCGTGCGTGCGTGCGTGCGTGGCGTGGTGCGTGCGTGCGTGTGCGTGCGTGCGTTGCGTGGCGTGCGTGGCGTGCGCGAGTGTCCGAAGCATTACATTACAGTGTAGCAATAATGATGTGTACAAGTGTAACAGTGTAACACTGTGTTACAGTGTAAGCAATAATGATATTCGATTCCACCGTGTTTGTAAGCAAAGTCACTTATATAATGCCTTGTATGCATATGTAGAACTTTACATTTGAAAGTGGTCCTAACACGAATAGTATATCGTCGGTATGCTGGTTCCATGCGAGTGAAAATAGGATAGTTACAAAGCACTATCGCAAATTTATATCTAGGCTGATTTTGATGTCGACATAAATAAAGTGTGCACAGTATAAGCGTGTGAAATAGAATTTAAACCGGGCTATAGTGCATGCATCTATGATATACATCGTGATACGAGAAACTAGGCTACCTGTATCATGTGATGTGCGTACGTGTCATTCTAGACGATGTTTTATTTCACAGTGCAAGAGATAGATATATATTCGTTAGTACTATTACTCACGACGCCGATTAACTTTGTGTTTTAGCAAGCGCAACGTTACGAAGCCGAAAACTGTTTGTTTATATGTAGTATGATAGTACATACTACATAGTCGCCTTGCGAGCATCTTGTCTTTATGATAGTCTGGAATCTACGTGCTAGAGTTCACGAACCGACCGTGTGTATGTGTGTCTGTGTGTATAATATGTACTTGTGCGTGCGTGTTTGTATGTTCACTCGTTATTTCTGTTCTGTTGCACGCAGAGCCACGCAGATGGAGGTGTATGTGGAAGGTAAGTAAATTCTGGATGTGTTTTTGGTGTACATCACGGGCGTGTTGCATGTGTTGCGTGTGTATGTGTGTCTGTCTATGTGCGCGCGCGCGCCTGTGTGTGTGTGTGTGTGTGTGTGTGTGTGTGTGTGTGTGTGTGTTGTGTGTGTGTGTGGTTTGTGTGTTGTTGGTGTGTGTGTGTGTGTGCGTGCGTGTGCGTATGTGCATGTGTGTCTGTGTGAAAATGATTTAGTACGTACATAACGTTAAGGGCTATAGGACTAAGTTTAGGGCTAATCATCGTTCTGCTAGTGTTGACGTGCTACCTGACGTATGTCTAATTGCTATTGTCTGCGTTGGACACGCTTAGCCTGTCGTGTTTGTGTGCCCAGTTTCTCTTACTAGAGCATATGATAAGCGTAGCAATTATAGTTTGTGGATTCCGATTCGCCCCTATCCGTGCGTGAGAGAATACTGCTGGATACCCTCACACACACACACACGCACGCACGCACGCGCGCACGCGCACGCACACGCACACGCACACGCATACACACACACCCCACACACACACATATATATATTCCCCCATATAGTCGGCCAATAGACATTGTGGATGAGTGACTAGTGCATACTAGTGCTAGCGTTGGATGTGACGCATTCATGTGATGTTCCCATCAGCGGGACTCGGTGTTTAGCAACCCGAATTGTGGTGATTAGCTAAGCTTGGCTAGCCGTCTATGCCCGCCTTGTATCGTCAGGTGTGTCATTACCGGAGTGGCGTTGAATAACGTTTACCCCACAGGCACTTGGAGCGTTTCAATAAAATATAATGCTAAATAACTACGAAATCTATTTACTACCAAAGTCTTAATATTTCTATACTCTCTTTCACCTATTATTGCCGACAATTGCGACATTTGCGTCCAAATGCTCATCTACAACAACGCTGGCTGTCGCCATTGCTCCCGCCATTGCTGCCGCTGCACACTGACACATAACTATATATTTATGTGTCAGTGTGCAGCGGCAGCAATGGCGGCAGCCAGTTTTTGTTGTAGATGAGCATTTGGACGGTATTTACAGGAAATTGTCGGCAATAATAGGTGAAAGAGAGTATAGAAACATTAAGACTTTGATAGTAAATAGATTTCGTATTTATTTAGCATTATATTTTTATTGAAACGCTCTAAGTGCCTGCGGTTTACCCGGGTGCGTTCGTGTACCTGATTCGGCTGGCAACGACACAGCAGCTGTGTGCTTTGCAGCCGCGGTTGGGTGCGTGAAAAACGTATGCGTATGTGAAATGCGTATGTGAGGAGCGGTGGCAGTTTGTGTATGCGTGCGTAATCAAAAGATAACAAGAGTGCCAAACGCATGCTTTTAACAGTTTCCATCTATGGTAATTGGATGTGCTAGCCTTACCCCCTCGCTATGACAGACCTTAGTATGTAAGGTATTACTATAGAGGTGTGTGTTTAGTGACAGTCTTGGCATGTGCTGCGTGGTGCAGTAAATTGATCGATTTTCAAGTCCCACTTGTGTTTCGTTGCGATGCGACTATAGTTCCTGATGCAGTTTCCTGATGCAGTATCAGTTTAATAGGTGACCTGGGAAATACCAGTCTTCCTAATCACGCTAACGTGAGACATCACGTAAAAATTTGAATATATATGTCCGCTCATGCGGTTGGCACGGAGAAACACCACGTGGCACGTAGTGCCAAGACGCTGTATGGACTATGGAGTGGTTCCTAGAGGCGCCGTCGCATTTACATTGCGTTGTTATCAACGATTGACGGAGTCAATCTAATCGCAGTATAGCTTTAATCGTGTTGGATAGAGATAGGGAGATGAGGTTGTAATGGCAATGTGTCCCGTAAAAGTGTCCTCGCGAGTGATGCATGCTGATCATGTGAGTTGAGCTATAAAGCCTCAGTCTTCATCGGATCGCACCGAGGATGTGTCGACGAAGTTTTTTTTTCATACGGTGGACGTTCTGCTATCGGATATATAGTGGTTGGTATAGTTGTGTAAGACGTACATGATGTTGAGAATGAGGTGTCTATATCATGTAATCCTCATTGTATAATAGTACTGGAAATTGTAGGCAGTATTAACAGTTAGTTGCGCGGCAATTCCCTGATAGACATGTGCGCGTTTATACAGAACAGAGATTCCACTAGCGTGCACATTATTACCATGTCAAAGGATCGGCAAATTATCAGCAGGAAGTATGTCGTGCAGTTCTCGGTAAGCACACACATACATAGAGACTGTACACACGCACAATGCTATATTAGTTATATCCGGGGGCTGGCGTTTGCTGGGTGACATTGCACGGTAATGTCGCACGGTATTGTGGCAGAGCCAGCTGCTCCCGTCCACGCCGGAATTATAGCGTGCTATGTACGAGGCGTTGTGTTGCCTTGGCTCGCTAGTCCATCCTGCTCGCACACACGCGCAGACACAGGTGCAAGAGGTCTGCTGGTCGTCTGCCTGCCAGGCCCAGCTGTGCGCGCGTGTTTGTTTGCGTGCGTGCGTGCGTGCGTGCGTGTGTGTGTCGGCGAGGCTATGCCGGTACGTGCAGCAGTCAGTGGTGGTGTTATGAGTGCAAAGTGCTGCGGGCACTTCGAGCTACGCTTCACGCTAACGTCATATACAGTAGCAGCAGCTGTTAGGTAGGTGTCAGTACGGTGGTACAAGTCTCTTCGATAAGTATGAGAGCGCCCGAGCGAACGAAAGGTTTGGTTGCCCGCGCACCAAAAGGTCAGCTTGTTTTGCTAGCATCTATGACAAATACGACATACGCATATATACGCTCTCCTATGACACTATTTGTCATAGAAAGATTCTTCCTATGACAAATATTGTTGTATGTGTTGTGCGCATCATAGGAGTTTAGGAGCGCTATTATGAACGCAAGCAGTGAATTTCAGCTTTAAAGCGGAACGAAGTTAACTCGCCAATATTTGTCATAGGAAGAATCTTCCTATGACAAATAGTGTCATAGGAGAGCGTATATATGCGTATACGACATAGATGCCATAGATGCAAGCAGAACATGTTGAAAATGTGAACGCGCGTATAGGTGCATGCATGCTAGCGTGCGTGTGTACGTGCCTGTCATGATACTTTTTAGTAAAATTTGCTGACACGCAGCCATCATCCAGCTCCTGCTACTGCTGCTGCTACTGCTACTACTGCTGCTGCTGCTGCTGTTGTTGTTGTTGCTGCTGCTGCTGCTGCTGCTGCTGCTACTGCTGCTCCTGCTGCTGCTACTGTTGTTGTTGTTCCTGCTGCTGCTGCTGCTGCTGTTCTTCTTCGTTTTCCTCTTTTAGTACAGGCGGTTAGGTCAGGATACCATCGAAATCGTTCAAAATGTGAAAAAAGTGTGAAAATTGGTACACTTGCATACTTATGTATGTTCTTTCATTTAAAGACAGGACATACGCGATCCAACTACAACTTCGGCCGCCATATTGAATTCAAAATGGCCGCCGTCATTTCTTAAAAAATAGCTATATCTCGGTTAATAATCTTCGTACAGACTTGAAAATTGACTGACAGACGTAATTTGGCTTACTATTTCATACAACAACGTGATGCATGTGATCCATGGGCATTTTCGGCCACCATCTTGGATTCAACATGGCCGCCATAAAAATTACAAACTTAGCAATATTTCCGTTCACGGAAGATATAGAGACGTGAAAATTTGCAGACTGGCGCAGGTTAATAAGCTCTTTCATATTAAAACAAGACACACAAGTTCCAATTATAATTACAGCGGCCATATAGAATTCAACATGGCCGCCATCACATTTTACTCTGTACTTCAAAATGATCAATGACATAGTATAACAGATATAAACAAACATGGCGAAAATGTTGAATTACCGGTTTTTCTCAGTATATAACAAACACAATGCCAAACTGGCAATCCCCAGTGTGAGAGAGAGATAATTCAAGACAACAAGTTGTAGTATACAGTACACAAGAACATGCATGGCAAGCCAAATAATACTATTGTTCAAGTTAAACAAATGTCTCGAGACTGCATTGTCCGCAAGTTGTTGCAGATTGTCACTCAGTGCGGTAACATGTACCTGCACAAGCACAAATATAGTACTTGTATGTACAGTATAGTATCTGTTATCAGCGTGCGTTCTCGCGGGCGTATAGGTATCTGTTATGTGCGGGCGTATAGGTATCTGTTATGTGCGTGCGTGCTCGCGCGCGTATATAGCTTCTGTTATGTGCGTGCGTGCTCGCGCGCGTATAGGTATCTGTTATGTGCGTGCGTGCGTGCTCGCGTAATTAGCTTCTGTTATGTGCGTGCGTGCTCGCGGGCGTATAGGTACCTGTTATGTGCGGGCGTATAGGTATCTGTTATGTGCGTGCGTGCGTGCTCGCGTAATTAGCTTCTGTTATGTGCGTGCGTGCTCGCGCGCGTATAGGTATCTGTTATGTGCGTGCGTTCTCGCGGGCGTATAGGTATCTGTTATGTGCGTGCGTGCTCGCGCGCGTATATAGCTTCTGTTATGTGCGTGCGTTCTCGCGGGCGTATAGGTATCTGTTATGTGCGTGCGTGCTCGCGCGCGTATATAGCTATCTGTTATGTGCGTGCGTTCTCGCGGGCGTATAGGTATCTGTTATGTGCGTGCGTGCTCGCGCGCGTATATAGCTATCTGTTATGTGCGTGCGTTCTCGCGGGCGTATAGGTACCTGTTAT